TACTCTGTCAGGAAGTCAAAGTTTCTGGCTTACTTACCAACTTAGGGGACTAATCGATGATTTGCCAATTTAGAGATCTTTCTCCTCTTGAGATTGTTTCAGGGAAGAAAAAAGGTAAATTTCTGCTATTTCTTATTATTTTATTATTATATTATGATTTTTCTTACCCGTATTAGTATCCCTCATAGTCGTACGTCACCACTTGAAGCAGTTGTGATGGCCTGGAAGAAGAGTTTGACTGTGTCACAAAGGTGTATGCCCTGCAACAGAAAAGCCAACAGAGGAGAAGGAGGAGGAAACGTCAGAGACGTGGTGGCGGTAGCCTGTTCCCGAAGAAAAGCCGGGGGGGGGGGGGGGTTTACTATTGAAATCAGCTCAAAGATAAAAGCAAGAGACCTGAGTCTGGAAGCTCGGTTTCTCTTCTCTGCACAGAAGCCTGGCTTTGGCTTTTCTTCCAAATAAGCAGCAACTGCCTCAAAGGGACCTCGCTCCGTTATCGATTGCTCTTCTAACTGGAATCAGTTTGCAGCCAAATTTTGGCTAACCGCACAGGTGAAACAGCAGGACATAGAGCTTAGCAAATGAATATGAATGTTTTCTGGCTGCGCTGAAGGCATCAAAACCAAGCATTTGAATGAGAATTTGCTTTTTCTAAGCCCCTTTATATTCATAATTGTAACTTCAAGTCAGTTCAAGCCCACTGTTTGACAGAAACTGCTGTCCTGCTGCTGCTCCTTTCTGAAGGATGCACCATTTAGTGATTTGGGTAGGGGAATGGCACCGTCTTAGGCCATTTGTGGATAAACGTTTCATTTTTCATAATGCCGTAGGATTTCCCCTTGCAAAAACCACGTATTTCCAGGCGATTACATTTCTTCAGATGTTTGCTCAGACTGGTGTTTATAGCAGCTGCAGGTCTGCCTGGTGCAAGCATCAGGCTTGGTGGTCCAGGTCACCCTTGGACCCTTTTAATGTGGACGGCGCAAAGACTTGAGGTTTGCAACTTGATTCTTCAGTTATTTTTTGGGTCTTGTCTTACTGGGTGTTTCACTATATTTAAACATCTCCAAGTCTGTTGAAACCAAAACCAGCGATTGAGACCCTTTTTGTTAATGGAGAGGAAAAACCAAACAAAAAAAACCCTCCAAACTACATCTTTTTTTTTTTTTTAACTGTAGAACTGATGGGACTGCCTTTTTTTTTTTTTTAAATAATCTAATTCTGCCAGAGCTTATGAAGCCTTTTATGTTCTGTGCTTCAACGTGACTGCTTTTTGAAGGACGCTTATTTATTGTGAGTCACCTTCCCGACGCTGCTCCTTAGCTGTTCTGGCTGCTCTCGCCTTTGCTCGAGCCTGTCTCAACAAGCTGCGTGCGCTTTTTCTCTGCGTTGGATGGGGTGTCCTTAAGCAGTCGAGGCCCCCCCCGTGATCATTATACGTTTTATCGGCAGGTATCTTTGCCTTTTGCAAGGGTGTGGTTTTCACCAAGTGTTTCGCTGTATCGTGATTCTAGGTCTTGAATTGGTGCACCGGCAGGGATGGGTTTAAATAGGAAGTGAACGGGTGCTGATGAAGTACAGCCAAATAACCTTGTTTACCTGTAGTTGCGACTTCCCTTAGTTGCAAGAAAATACCGTTGAAAATGCTTAGATGGGGTTCCCGTGGCGTTTTTCCTATACTAGACAGTGCGTCACTCAGCTCGTCAAAACGTAGAGGTAGTCTGGGGTCTCGGTGTGACGCGGCGCGCGCTTTTAACACCAGATTCTTGGCGTGCTCATGTGAAATTCGAGTGTTTGGTTCAACTTTAAATATTTTTCCTGAGAAACTTCATAGCGCACCGGACAGAAAGAAATGCTCCTGACATCCCTATGTAGTCATCAGCACCGTTACTTCTGTTAATCCCAGAGTGTCTTCTGGTAGCAGATGTTTGAAATGATTATTTTTTCAATTGGTGCACATATAATTTTTAATAAAAGATCTTCCAAATCCATTCATATAATGGCCGCCGCATTGGTGCGATTATGTTTTCATAGTTCCAATTTAGGCTTAGATGGAAAAGTTACTTGCATTATTCACGGATTATTAAGATGATCCAAAAGTACCTTTAGCTTTCCTTCAAGGCACATCAGTCTCTCTAATTCAAAGCTGCTTTGAATTATCCCTAAATATTTCAGCTGATCATGATTAATCTCATTGCCTTGATACCTTCTCGTTTCCGAGCGTCCCATTTCTGGGTAGGTCACGTAAAAATCGGTTGAACGCCTAAATGAACGCAGTGTTTCGAAATGGTGCCCTTGAGCTTCCCAGTGGATGGGACAGCGCAGCCCATGGTCTCACGCTCTGCTGAGTTTGGGAGCCAACGATCGCTGTTTCGGTCTAGCGTCAGCAGCCGGAGAGCCTTCACACGTCGCGTTACGGACGACGCGAGGGCCCTCGCT